CACTGAAAATGGTAAGAAAGTATGTGGGGTTTTTCGCACCTTTCCAGCTAAAATTCTAGCAGAACCCCCATGATAGTACAGAGAATTGAAGGCATTAAGAAGCTTATACGGTATAGCGAACTATATGGTAAATGGAAAAGCCCTGGGGAAAATTGATGCAGAGAGATCTGGGTTTTCAGGTCCATTGTACCCTGAAGGTGGCAACGCAGGTCAATAGAGTGGTCAAGAAGGCATATGGCATGCTTTCATTCATCGGATGGGGTATTGAGTACAAGAGTTGGCAGGTCATGTTACAGTTGTATAGGACTTTGGTTCGACCACATTTGGAATACTGCGTACAGTTCTGGTTGCCACATTACCAAAAGGATGTGGATGCTTTGGAGACGGTGCAGAGGAGGTTCACCAGGATGTTGCCTGGTATGGAGGGCGCTAGCTATGAAGAGAGGTTGAGTAGATTAGGATTATTTACATTAGAAAGACGGAGGTTGAGGGGGAGACCTGATTGAGGTCTACAAAATCATGACAGGTGTAGACAGGGTGGACAGCAAGAAACTTTTTCCCAGAGTGGGGGACTCAATTACTAGGGGTCACGATTTCAAGGTGAGAGGGGAAAAGTTTAAGGGAGATATGCGTGGAAAGCTCTTTACACAGAGGGTGGTGGGTGCCTGGAACGCGTTGCCAGTGGAGGTGGTAGAGGCAAGCACGATAGCGTCATTTAAGATGTATCTAGACAGATACATGAATGGGCAGGGAGCAGAGGGATACAGATCCTTGGAAAATAGGCGACAGGTTTAGATAGAGGATCTGGATCGGCGCAGGTTTGGAGGGCCGAAGGGCCTGTTCCTGCGCTGTAATTTTCTTTGTTCTTATGTTGCCAGTTGGGTTTGAGCATGCATCAAAATGCTCCTTTCAAAACAGACAGTAGCCACTTTAAAGCATATAATTCATGGTTTGGTTGCCCAATTGACTTCCACTTCCAAGATGCCTGAACCATTTCTGCAGACCCTGGCATACTGACCTAACCATAACTTGTGCAAGACTGTTTTCTCAGTGCCTGAATCAGCAATTAAAAAAGACACAAAATTATCTGCTGAAAGGACACAATGAAACTGACACAAATACAATGGGCTCAATGGCCTCCTTCTGGGCTGTATAATTTTATTCCAATCTTGGGGCCTGTCTGTGGTTTGATATTTGACATGCTTTACTGTTGATCTAAAAGATAGTGCTTTAGTTCAGAACCAGACATTGCAATGGCTCATTAGCTTGCCTTCTACAATACTAAAACAGTAATGTGGTGGTGGGACATTCCATCTTTACCTTCATCTTGGACTCAAATTTCCTCTACTTTTGCCTCCTCTTCATTGGTAACAATGAAGTAATAATGGTTTGAACAATTGGTAATAACGGTTTGAAGCTGATCAAATGCTTTATAAAAAAATGCTGTATCCAATTGTTTTACAGCAATGACTACATAAATTCACATAAGTATTTAAACTTCTGTGGAGCACTTTGGCTCATCCTAAGGCCATGAAATATAAAATAAATGAATAAAAATCTTTCAATACCTTTGAAAATTGAGTGATAATAGCACTGTAAGATTTTGGCAAAATGTGCTCCACCTCTTAATGATTTAGAACTTCCGTTTGGTAGAACTAAACTTGAGTATCACTGAAAAAGGGCACATTTTGTCAAAGTTTTCATCTTGCATTCATTTGGACAATTGGTACTAAATACCAAAATCAAGACGGAAAACAAAATTTATACTGCATTGGCACAGGTGTTATCGAGGAGAATGTACCAGTTAATGATAAGTGATAGTTAACAACCAGGCTTTGTTTGAATTTTAAACCAGACAGATTAATTCTGATTGTTCAGGGTATTGTCCTGAGAAATAAACCAGAGAATGGCTGGCCACTATTCCATTGAGTTGAACCAGGCCCAGTGCATGTACATCTTTTTGTCTGAACAGGACCCTGATTTTCATACGTGTAGCTTCCTGTACCCGCAAGTGTGCCACACTACAAGTCTGACTAACAATCCTAAATTGATTGTCAGTGTAATTCATCATACACTCAGCAAATATTATCCAATTGTGGAATAGCGTCTAGACACTGTTTTGCAAGTGTGGGCTGGTTGTATATGCTCAGTACCTTGTTTATTCCAAGCAGCCAAAGGGACATTCTGTTTGATACAATCCTCCAGTGTTTAGGATGTCTGGCCTACTTACCTGGCCTCACACCAACATTGAAATTTATATATGACATTAATGTCTATATGATAGACAGAATGTCTTTATTGCTGGACGGTAACATCATGTTAGTGGCAAACACAATTCTCATTCATTTCCCAGGTAATGCTCCGACAAATCAGTCAACTCGCCTAGCTTTAAATTTAAGCAGAACCTGGCTGTTAGCTATCAGCCATTATTATTTGGTGCATTCTCCATGGCAACACCTCTATCAGTCAGAGTCATTTGCCAACCAGTTAGCGCTGTCCTGTCATGCAGTATAAATGTTCATTTTCCTCATTGAATTGGTATTCTTGCAACTTGTCCTGATGAGTATAAGATGAAAAGCTTCAACAAAACATGTCTTTTTCCAACAATATTTATAACTGATTGACATCAGCACAGTTAATAGAATCCATTGTTGTAAATTCATTAAAGATAAAGGCTATCTCTCTTGTGATGGCAGCATCTGTAGCACTTTGCACTGTGGTACGTGGCAAATAATTTTACTCAAAGGGAAGGAACATTTTCTGGGAATGACAGCTCCTTAGGGTGATTAGTCAATGTTGCACTTTGGTGTAAAATTGCCTTAGCCAAAGTTCTTGTGCTGCTTATCAGCTTCCTGTTTTATAGTCAAAGTACTAATTGAGCAATTTACTCTAGTGAATCAATAAACATTTAACCATATCTATAATTTCTTATAGGAATGGGAGTTCCCACAGTGACTGCTACCCGAATACTGAAAGGACAACTCCAAAAAAAACTTGGAGAAGGAACTGTGCTAGCAATGGAGTCATTTCCACATCTTGGTCTCTCCAAAGTCAGGCTTAAAAGCTACTAACATTCTATGAATTTTCTGTCTTTTTCTGTTTTAAATTATGGTTAGAAAAATATTTTGAATAATTAAATGCATGCAAGTGTCCCATGATTGCATTTTCACAATGTATTCCTAACTGAGAGATTTTAGCAGCTGACTATTGATAGGTAACATTTATAAATATTGTTTTGCTTGTTGACAATGAACAACAGGTGCATATTGATTAAGGATTTCAATGCACAGCCTGCTGTTTATATTCCAGATTTAAATGGATCCTACTCTGCTGAAGTGGAAAGGAACATGTGCAAAAGGAGACAGCTAGTGGACTGATCATGATTGCTTAAGGACATAATTTTTAATGACTTATAGATAAATGCAAATTGAAACTGTAAGTGTAGCATTACTGTCTCAGTGGAGGCTTGAATACTGCAATTGCCCCTAGGAGGGTGTCCAATTTCCTGAGTTTGCTCCACTCCTGAAGCAAAGAAACCCACTGAAATAGAAGCCAGTTTATGTATCTATTATGTATTTGATCTTATATGGCAAGTTTCCAAGTTCATTTTAGTGTGACTAATTTTAGGTTCTGCCAGAGATGCATGAATTCTACGCACTAACAGCAGCAGCACCACCCTCTCCGCACACCCACCACCACCACCATAAGTCTTCATGTTTCCTTTTGTGTTGCTGTCCCTGTGACACCTATGATCTTTCTGTCCCACCATTTCCATTGGGCCTCTTTACATCACCCGTAATATGCGCACTTTACCCTAAGAGGCGATGACTTTGGAAGTTTACATGTCCTTGTTGGCTCTCCACCCTTCCCATGAAGAGGCCAGTATAACCATGACCTTTGTGAACCACTTCATGGAGCTCCTAGTCCTTTCCTATTCAATATGAAGTTCCATCCTACTATCTGCAAATTTCCCCCATCACTGTCACCATTCATGCAGTGACTCAGTACAAGGAAACCCATTCCCAGACTTCAGCTGTCTGCTTTCCCCAGGACTGCAATCACTGCTCCATGATAAGGCCCCTCATAACTATTGACCAAACTCCCAGGACTGACCTTGCCCCACCCCTAGACTGACTTGATAAGACATCCACATCTGATCACAGCCCAGTCCATGGATTGGTATCTCCAAAAGATGCCAACTGATCTACTTGCAATCTCTGAAGCAGTTGCACATGACCTGCAGAATTGTCAGTGGCCCAAATCCTCAGACTTTGGTAGGACCAAGTATCTGACTGACCCTGGCCAACCCCTTAGTGGATAACCTCCTTGACTATTTGACCCACTGACGACTCTTGTCAACTCTCAGACAATGGCTATTTGAAGCACAGGCAGTGTGTAGGCAGCTGGCGTTGACGTAGCATGGTGTCATGTAGCGACATGCTTACCTCCTATCACACTGATAGATTGACTGTTCAGTGCTCTCTCTCTGTCATAAACTGCCAACTTCCTCCTCTGTGCTAAAGAAACAATGCAAGCCACAGTAATCTGCATATGACCACTAAAGACCATGCATGTCAAGAAAGGAATGTGAGTTTCATAGATGCTGTAAATTACTGTTGAAATTAAGAAGTGTGTACTAAGAAACCAGAGGTATGCAGGATGGCAGCTTTGTTATAAAGGATAAAGTGAGTGAGCATTTGGGAAGCAAACTGATAGTTATACCACTGTTGACAGTTAGAAACCACTGTTGAAACAGAACACAAAAATACTTTCAGAAGGAAATTAGATTCTGGAATGGTGCAATACAAAAGTAAAGGAGAATAGGTAGTGTGATTAAACAAAATAGCTTGTGTGAAAAGGAGCTGTTCTGGACTATTTGGGCCAAATGGCCTGTATCTTTACTTTTAGCATTCTTCAGGGTACAGTGGAATTGCAATGTGATAGGAGCTGGAATACATCAAATCTCTTGGTTTACAAATAGTGGCAGCATGGTGGCTCAGTGTCTTACAGAGCCAGGTTCCTCAGTTTGATTCCACCCTCAGGCAACTGTCGATGTGGAATTTGTACATTGTCCCCATGTCTGTGTGTGTTTTCTCCGGGTGCTGCGGTTTTCTCCCACAGCCCAAAAATATGCAGGTTAGGTGGATTGGCCATGCTGAATTGCCCCATCATGTCCAGGGATGTGCAGGCTAGGTGGATTAGTGGTGGGAAATGTAGGGTTACAGGAATAGCATTGGGGTGTGTCTAGGTGGAGTGCTCTTCAGAGGTTGAAGTGGACTCGATGGGCTGAATGGCCTGTTTCAACAGTGTGGGATTCTATGATTCCATAAAGGTCTTAACAGTCTCGACTTTGTAGTAGGAGTAATAGTGAGATTAACATTACTCATTAGCATTAAGGATAGCAAAGTCTGGTGTTTGCAGATGCATGTTTTAATGTGTAAATAAGGGTGTAGCAGTCTGATTTGCAATGTTCCTTCACAATCTATGCTAAACCAGTACCTCTTCATGGAACGTGAAGGGTATAAATTTTCAATATATACTGGCTAGGTGTCTATTACACACATCAAAAAGATTTAAGCTTGTCCATTCAAGTGTAAGTAAATCTTTAACAGTATAATATATTTTAATGGCTGCCAAATAACCTCTGTGACAATGAAAATTAGCTTTTATAAATTCAAAGTCTAGTCTCATTTTATCAGGTTTTGATTTTAGTAGTATATGTTTCAAAAATGGAAAGAAAATGTCCCTTTATATAACTCATTATTATCCCATATTTTCTGAGATAGTAGGAACTGCAGATGCTGGAGAATCTGAGATAACAAGGTGTAGAGCTGGATGAACGCAGCAGGCCAAGCAGCATCAGAGGAGCAGGAAAGCTGACGTTTCGGGCCTAGACCCTTCTTCAGAAAAAAAAAGAAATAGTAACCTAAGTACATTGGTTTTGAGAAGACATGTGACTGTCATCAAATGCCTGGGAGATCGCTGTGGTTTTAATAGATGAAATGTTTATGTTGCTGAGTTTATGACAGGAAGAGTAAACAGAATTGGCAATCAGCTTTAGATTTTCACTTCAAAACATAATTTTAAATTTCTTCATTCAAAGGAATTGAGATTTTAGTTCAGGGAGACCTGTAACCCCAACCGAAGTGGTTTCCACCTTTTCTGAAGAAGGGTCGAGGCCCAAAACGTCAGCTTTCCTGCTCCTCTGATGCTGCTTGGCCTGCTGTGTTCATCCAGCTCTACACCTTGTTAACCCATATTTTCTCTTCGCTTTGTTTTGTCTTCTCTGCTTGATTTGACAATGAATCAAACACTCTTAACTTGCATTTCCTGGTTTAAACTCTGCATGTCTCAGGGAATTCTTTAATATGATTGGGTGGAGAGACATAGTGTTGCTTACCCTGTCCACACATGTTCCAGATTCCTTGTGAAAGGCACCACATAGTTTCACATTCTTGATGCTTTTTGTTGCTCAAAAACTCACAAAAACTCTGTTAACACTTGGAAAAATTAGGAGCAGCATGCTCTATTTGCTTTAATAAGCTGAAATTTAGTTTGTGAACTGAGTGATGTCTGATTCTTAGGGAATACTCCCAAAGATACTGTATCTGAGATTTTCTTGTGTATGCTTCTAATTGACATGAGAAGAAGATTGCTCTTGCCATACTAAGATAGAATCCCTTTTATAGAGTTCAGTGACATATCTTCTATCCAATAGATACATGGCTGGATGGAATAAAGCTACTTGGAGACAAATGGAAATCCATAGATATCTTGAACACATTGTGATAAAAATGCATAATATATTATCATTTTTGGAATTTTGATTTAATTAAAAAATAAAGATAGACAATTTTGGCCAGTCTGGATTTTTTTAAACGGGTCAGAAAGCCATTTGAAATAGTAACCTAAGTACATTGGTTTTGAGGAGACATGTGACTGTCACCAAACGTCTGGGAGATCTCTGTGGTTTTAATAGATGAAATGTTTATGTTGCTGAGTTTATGACAGGAAGAATAAACAGAATAGGCAATTAGCTTTAGATTTTCACTTCAAAACATAATTTTAAATTTCTTCATTCAAAGGAATTGAGATTTTAATTCAGGGAGACCTGTAATCCCAACCGAAGTGGTTTCCAGTCTGTGAAGCTTTCAAGCCAAGAGACTTTGTATAGAAGTTTTCAAGTTGTTAGAACTGAATAAGTTTAGGCCATCGGAATTATCATAGGTTTATGCCAGCAGACTTGGAAAGATTGAGGTTGGTTGGCTCGCCGAGCTGGTTTGTTGTTCCGCAGACGTTTCGTTACCGTGCTTGGTAACATCCTCAGTGCAGCCTCTGATGAAGCGTCGGTGTGTTTTCCCACCTGGCTTTTAAACTCTGGGGTCCGTTGCGATGGATTGCCTCACTTCTGGGTTTCCTCTGTAATGGAATGTATATTCAATGTGAACTCGACCCCATATACATTCCACTACGGAGGAAACCCAAAAGTGAGGCAATCCATCGCAACGGACCCCAGAGTTTAAAAGCCAGGCGGGAAAACACACCGACGCTTCATCAGAGGCTGCACTGAGGATGTTACCAAGCACGGTAACGAAACGTCTGCGGAACAACAAACCAGCTCGGCGAGCCAACCAACCTCAACACCCACAACCCGAGCTACAAATCTACTCCAAAACCTTAGAGACTTGGAAAGGATTCTAAAAATGTCTCATCAGCCGTCCAAGGAAAAGAGACTAGGAGGAATAAATTAAGTAGAAACTTTAAAAGTTAAGATAAAATTGCTCAGGATTGAAGCCTATGTAAAAGAATAGTAGTGGGGAACAGGTTTAAACTTTGTTTTGCTGTTTGTGTTAAAATCATGCTAATTGTCTTCTATTTGTGTAATCAACAGATGTTCTGTTATTAAAGAACATCTGCAGTCTTTTGTGAATATCTTTTGGTGACTAACCACCATGGTATCCAACTGCAAAAAATTAAATTTATGATCTATCGAATCAGGTTTCATTTTAGGAACAGACATATCCAGTGTTACTATCAGCTGAGATCATAATAAGATCACTTATTGCATTAAAATACCAATTTGCTAAAGCTCTGAAAAGAACGTCTTTTTCTTGTTTTAGACATACAATGTTGATCACCAAGCAGCTGATAGTGCAGGAACAGCCACTGCTTACCTTTGTGGGGTCAAAGCAAACTATGGAACCATTGGACTGAGTGCAGCAGCTAGACGAGGACAATGTACAACAACTTTTGGCAATGAGGTCATGTCAGTACTTAAGAGGGCAAAAGATGCAGGTATAGTATATTTTGAAAATACCTGTACAAAATGACATTCAATAATCATTCTAATCTCAATAAATAATAAAAGCTGGGAGGAAAATCTAAAAATAGTTGAAATGATAAAGGTGACCATGACAATTTTTGAACTGCTGTATGGACGCAGCGGGGGAAGAACTATTTCAGTGGCCCATTATTGCTACATAGTAAGCAGAACATTGACCAGTAATAATAGCCTGTACATATTTTTTTGTAACTTGAAGCTGTTTGAAGTCTGTGTGCTACCTAATACTGATTGCATATACAATGATTTCAGAATAAACCCATCTACAAAGAGAAAAACTTATAGGGTGAGTTATTTTTGAAGAAAGTGTGAAAACAGGTGCTGTGTTAGAAATATGTGCCATTTGAAAGTGTTGTTTTAGCATGCAATATTTGTCCCAGTTGCTGGTTACCATAATTTGAATTTGCCAGTGACAGAGCTCCTTACAACCAATTCAATAGAAAATGTGAAGTGTGCTGGCTGGCAGTAGCATGATACAGGAACAAGTGAGAGGGTGCACACATTCTTTGATGTGGTAAAGGAGCCCCTGGTAGAAGAGGTGCAGAGGAGGAGGGAAGTCCTGTACCTGCAAGGGAAGAAAAGAGTGCATCTGGCATTCCTGTCCCCTTTTCTGAAGAAACTGCCACTACCCCACCTGGCCTCATCTCCTCTTTCTTCATACTAAGGGAAACTCCTAGAAAGATGCTGATGACCAGAGACTCCTTTTCCCCTGGTGATTCCTATAGCTGTAAGGTGTTAATGAGGATCACACAAAAGTTCAAAGATAACCTCAAACATAACCAAAACTAACAGAGTTAAATGGCTGAAAATCTGAAAAATTAAGCTCTCCGTTTCAACTTCTCCTCCATTCTTTCCTTGCAGTTCGAGATGAATTATGATTCATGCTACTGAGACCATGATTCTCTGTGCCCTCAGTTTGCTGTTTCATCCTTCACCCTTGTTCGACTATTTTCCTCCCTGATGCTTAATCCATGTTCCATAAATTTCCTTCTGACTCAGCTTCTTGCACCTATCTTGATATAGAAGTACTGGTGTTGGACTAGGGTGGACAAAGTTGGAAGTCACCACACCAGGTTATAGTTCAACAGGTTTATTTGAAATCACAAGCTTTCTGAGTGTAGCCCCTTCGTCAGGTAACAAAGATTAATTAACAAAAGTAACAAAAATTAACTCCGAGTCTGCAAAGGGAGTATTGTATATCTCTGAAGAATATTCAAATTTTGCTGAAGAGACATAATGTTTGGATAGACTATCCAATACAGTTGATCAACTGGATACCAAGACAGAAAACAGAAACAAAAACAGAAATTACTGGAAAATCGCAGCAAGTCTGGCAGCATGGTGGAGAGAAAGCAGAGTTAACGTTCTCTCTCTCTCTCTCTCTCGGCTCCATCTCCACCTATCATTTTCTCATTTATGTAGTCCACAAACAGCAGAGGTCCCAGCATTGATCCCTGTGGAACACCATTAGTCACCACCCTCTATTCCAAAAAGCATCCTTCCACTGCTACTCTCTGTCTCCTATGCGTAAGACAGTTCTGTATCAAGCTCGCCCCTGATCTCATGTGACTTCACCTTTTCTACCAATCTTCCATGAGGGACATTGTCAAAGGCTTTACTGGAGTCCACGTAGACAGCATCAACTGCTTTGCCCTCATCAATCATCTTTGTCACCTCCTTAAAAAATCCGATCAAGTTAGAGAGACATGACCTCCTCTGCACAAAACCGTGCTGTCTATCTCTAATAAGTCCATTTGCTTCTAAATGTGTATAGATCTTGTCCCTCAGAATCTTTTTCAATAATTTCCTTACCACTGATGTGAGGCTCACAGGCCTATAATTTCCAGGATTATCCCTGTTACTCTTGTAGAATCATTGAGTCATACAGCACGGAAATAGACTCTTTGGTCCAAATAGTCCTTGCCAAACATAATCCCAAACTGAACTAGTCCTACCTGCCTGCTCCTGACCCATATCCCTCCAAACCTATTCATGTATCTATCCAAATGTCTTTTAAACGTTGTAATTGTACCTGCACCCACCACTTCCTCAGGAAGCTCATTCCACATGTGAACCACCCTCTGTGTAGAAGGTTTGCCTCATGTCTTTTTTAATCTCTCTCTTCTCACAATAAAAATGTTCCCCCAGTCTTGAAATCCCCCATCCTAGAAAAAAGACAACTACCATTAACTCTTACTCTACCTCTCATTATGTTATAAACTTCTATCAGGTTGCTTCTCAATTTCCTAAGGTCCAGTGAAAAAAGTCATTCTCAAGTCCTCTGGAACCTCATCTGTGGCCAAAGAGGATACAATGCTCTAGCAACTTGTTCTTCTACCTCCCTCAATATTCTGGGATAGATCCCATCAGGACCAGGGGACTTATCTACCTTAATACATGGCTTAGGAATTTGACACTACCCTGTCTGAGATCATCCTTCATCAATTCCTTCTCTTTGGTGAATACCAATACAAAGTATTCCTTTAGGACCTCATTTGCCTCTTCTGGCTCCACACATAGATTCTCTCCTTTGACCTTGAGTGGGCCAACCCTTTCTTGGCTACCCTCTTGCTTTTTATATATGTATAAAACGCTTTGGGATTCTCCTTAATCCTGTTTGCTAATGACTTTTCATGATCCCTTTTAGCCCTTCTAATTTCTTGTTTAAGTTCTTTTCTACTTTCTTTGTATACTTAAAGGACTTTGTCAGTTCCCATCCTCCTCGACCTTATGTACACTTCCCTTTTCGTTTTGACCAAGGTCATAACATCCCTGGTCATCCAAGGTTCACATAATTTGCCATACCTATCCTTCATTCTGAATGGACCCAAAACGTTAACTTTGCTTCCTCTCCACAAATGCTGCCAGACCTGGTAAGTTTTCCAGCAATTTCTGTTTTATTTCTGATTTCCACCATCCACAGTTCTTTTGTTTTTGTTTTTGTTTTTGTTTGTATTTAGTGTTTTATCATAGAAAACAAGTTTTTTTATCTGAGTTGTGAATTATCAGATCAACCATACTCTCATTGAATGGGGGAGCAGAATGAATGGGCTGAATGGTTTACTTCTATTCCTATATCTTATAGGCTGTGGTCTGTCTCTGCACGGAGTTTTTCCCAGTCAATTATTAAATAAAATGCTTGAACATGCTTGCTCAGAACATTATCCATTCCATGATAAACACAGACTGATATGTCTATGTTCTTGATGACCCGGATAAACAGATTGTACATTGTCAAAAAGTATCATGCTCCATTTCACTTAAAATAATGGAAGTCACTTTTTGCAAAGGTAATGGTCACAAAGCAAGGCTGCCATTAAATTCAAATGTTTTTTCACAACTAAGTGATTAATATTACATGGCATTATAATTAGACAGAATGATGAATTCCACATTCTCTGTATTCTTTATTTACCTAATAGATAGATTAGTAACTACGTTATTTTTGTGATTCCTAGTTCTGATTTAAAGCAAAATTTATTCTGACTTTTTCTATTCACCTACTTTTCATTAACATTAGATAATCTTTAACTTTTTCATTTTGCACAGGAAAGTCGGTTGGCATCGTGACAACCACTCGGGTTCAACATGCTTCTCCAGCTGCTACATATGCCCATGTTGCAGACAGAAATTGGTACAGTGATGCTGAAATGCCACTCGATGCAATTAGGAATGGTTGCAAGGACATTGCTTTTCAGCTCATAAATAACACAGATATTGATGTAAGTTCTGTTTATTTTTATAAGATTTAAAGGTTCATCAAACCACAATGCACTTTTATCATAGTTAACCATTTTGAACAAATAATTCATTATATTTTTATCCTATGATTATAAATTCATTGTAAGTAAGTAGTTAAATATTATTTTTATAGCTACTTCCATACTTGTGGTGCAATTTTAACTATTTCCGTTTGCCTTTTACATTTAGATAACTTTACTCAAATCTGTGCCCAGTGACCTGACCATTTAAAATACTTTTTTTTCAAATATTGACTTGTATTCTATTGCTTCATTGTCTTGCTTTGTGCGCGGTAAATCATGTCTCACAAACTTGATTGAGTTTTTTTGAGGGGTTACCAAAACAATTGACAAGGGCAGAGCAGTAGACGTTGTTTACATCAACTTTAGTAAAGGCTTTGACAAGGTTCTGCATGGTAACTAATTAGTAAAATTAGATGACATGGGATTCAAGGAGAGCTTGCCAATTGGATGCAAAATTAGCTTGAGAGTAGGAGACAGAAGGTGGTAGTGGAGGGTTGTTTTTCGGACTGGAGGCCTGTGACCTGCAGTGTTTCACAGGGATTGGTACTAGATACACTTTTATTTGTCATTTATGTAAATGATTTGGTTGAAAATTTAGGAAACATGGTTAGTAAGTTTGTGGATGACAACAAAATTAGTGGTTTAGTAGACAGTGAAGAAGGTTATCTAAGATTACAAAGGGATCTTGATCGATTGGGTCAATGGGCTGAGGAGTGGCAGATGGAGTTTAATTTGGATAAATGCGAGGTATTGTAGTTTGATAAAATAAACAAGGGCAAGACTTACACAATTAATGGTAGGGCCCTGGGTAATGTTGTAGAAAAGAAAGACCTGGGGTTCAGATACATAATTCTTTTAAGTTTACGTCACATATAGACAGGATGGTTAGAAAAGTGTTTTGCACATTCGTCTTTATCGCTCAGACCTTTAAGTATAGGAGTTAGGATGTCATGTTGAGGTTGGTGAGGCTTCTTCTGGAGTAGTGTGTATAATTCTGGTCACCCTGTTATAGGAAAGATATAATTAAATTGAAGAGGGTTCAGAAAAGATTTACCAGGATGCTGCCGGGAATGGAAGGTTTGAATTATAAAGTTAGGCTGGATAGACTGGGACTTTTCTCACTGGAGCGTAGAAGGTTGAGGGGTGACCTTACTGGGGTTTATAAAATCATGAGGGGATTAGATAAGGTGAATAGCAAAGATATTTTCCTTAGGGTGGGGGAATTAAAAACTAGGGGCATATTTTTAAGGTGCAAGGAGAGAAAGTTAAAAAGATATGTGCACCCACTGATTATGCCAACATGGAAACTTTACCCCAGAGTTTCAGTTATAAAGTACTGACTAATCACAGGATTTGACAAACATTTTGTCAGTATCTAATCTACTGTTTGATATTAGGGAATGATACATTTAAATTGTGTGAAACGAATAAACATAAGGTAATAAAATAATCTGTAATACACTGCAGTAGAAGCTAATATAACTGTGGGTTTGTTTTTCCTTGTAAACCATGCTGCTGGACAACTTTGACCAATAGAATTGTTGATACTCAGCTTGGAGGACAAGTCCAACACAGAAAAAAAAAATCGCAGTTTTTACTGCCTTTCACAATTTCACAAAAGTTTACATTAAATCATCTAAATATTTGAGAACTGAAACATACCATCTGGCCCAACAACATGATGGGGTGGTATCCATTACAGGAACAGGAGCTGTAAACCTATCTCTCTCCTGTGTGTCCACACCCACTTATGTTCAGCTATCAACTAAGCTGTGTTAGCACTGGCAAAATAAAGGGTAAGTGGGGACTGGTCAGAAAACTTTGGAGCATTTGGACCACCCCTGCTTCTCCTGGCTCCAGAGGAATGTTTTCAGTCTTTTTTTTTAAATGAAATTATGTTTTTGTCGGCTGTTCAAACGACAGAGGTAATTAAGAGTCCCAGGTGGAGCAAGAGTGCTTCTCCCAGCTATACATTCGAATTGTAAGCCTCTATCAGTTACATATTGCTCTCAACTCTCCAAATTCTGCTTATGTTTTAGCTGAACAATCTTGCTATTCCACCATCAGGGACAAGCTACCTGCAGATATCTGCCTGTAACAGATGTACACAGCTCACTGGTACTATAATGATCAATTTCCCATGTCTGTGCCTGTGCCTGTACCTGTTTTAAGTACATACAATATTTGTTGAAGTAGGTTCTATTTGATTCAGGTTATATCATATTTCTGGATATTTTTATACAAAGTTATATTTTATATCAAATGAGCAAGTCTCAATAAATAATCTGAAGGAACTACTTACATTTCTATCTATCCAAATTGCATTCTCAAGACATGTCAAAGTGCTTTATAACCAAAGAATAAAAGTGCAGTTAGTTAACACATTAGCAACCATCAAAGCTAATTGCAAAGACTTTCCTACAGACAAAATGATTGTCTACTAAGTCTATCAATGGTGTTATTAGTTGAGGAAAGCATGTTGAACCAGGATGAGATGGAGTTTCTACTGATCTTTGAATTGTATCATTGAGATCTTTTATGATCACCAGTGCAGAAAGGTGTAGCCTTTCATCTAACTGTGGGTATCACACTTTCAGTTTTACATCAGCCTAGATAGTGTTCTCCGTTTAAAGTGTGGTCCAAACTATCACCTTCTTACTCAAATTTGACATACTCCACCAAGGACATAGGCATTTCCCTTCATTAGATAGATACAATTGATTATATTGGTTGAGGGACAACACTATAAAGCATGCAGTAAGGTAAGGAAGACGGCCTCCATGAGCTACCGCAGCTGTTACGAGGAGTGATGTCACCACCATCATAGACTTCATTAGCAAGTGTGTAGAGGACTGCATGCCACAGATGTCAATCCGCATATTACTCAACCAGAAACCTTGGGTGAACTGGGAAATCCATTGCCTACTGAAGACCAGGCGTGTGGCCTTCAGGTCGGATGACCCAGACTTTTACAGGAAATACAGATACGACCTCTGCAAGGCACATAGAGATGTCAAGAGGCAGTAGTGGACCAAATTAGAGGCACAAACTAACCACATGGACACTCGCCACCTGTGGCAAGGCCTACAAAACATAATAGGATACAAGATGAAGCAGAACAAAACAGTGGACAAAAACACATCCCACCCTGGTGCAGAGAATACTTTATACACTCAATTTGAGCAGAATGCCAGTAGAATGGTATCACCTGCACCGACAGCCCCAGATGCACCTGTTCCCTCAGTCATCGCTGCAGATGTCAGATTGGCTTTCTTGAGGGTGAACCTGAGGAAAGCAACTGGCCCAGACGGTGTCCCTGGCCATGCACTCAGATCCTCTGCGGACCGGCTGGTGGGAATATTCACTGATATCTTTAGCATCTCCTTGCTACAATCTGAAGTCCCCACCTGCTTCAAGAAAACCACCATCATCCCAGTACCAAAAAAAAACACATGCAACATTCCTCAACGACTACCACCCAGTGGCTCTGACCTCCATAATTATGAAATGCTTTGAGGTTAATCATGGCTCACATCAACTTGAGCCTCCCAGGCTGCCTCATTCCCTTGCATTTTGCCTACCGGCGCAACAGGTCCACAACAGACACCATTTTCCTAGACCTACACTCATTCCTGAACCATCTAGATGATAAAGATACCTATGTTAGGCTTCTATTTATTGACTACAGCTCCACCTTCAACATTATAATCCCAACCAAACTAATCTCCAGACTTTGTGACCTTGGTCTCGGCTCCACTCTCTGCAACTGAGTCCTTGGCTTCCTGACCCACAGACTGCAATCAGTGAAGATAGACAACAGCACCTCCCCCACAATAATACTCAACACCAGCACCCTGCAAGGATGCATATTCAGCCCCCTACTGTATTCCCTGTACACTCACGACTGTGAGGCCAAATTTCATCCAAACGCCATCTCTAAGTTCATTGATAACACCAACGTCGTAGGCCGGATGTCAAACAACGATGACACAGAATACAGGAAAGGGATAGAATGCTTGGTGTCATGGTGCAAAGATAACAATCTTTCCCTCAATGTCAGCAAAACTAAAGAACTGATCAATGACTTCAGGAAGAAAGAAGGAGGTCACGCCCCCACTACATCAATGAAGTTGAGGTGGAGAGGGTCGAGAGCATCAAGTTCCTAGGAGTGACGACAAGCAACAATCTGCCCTGGTCCTCCCATGTAGCTGTGATGGTCAAGAAGGCACAACAATGCCTCTTCTTCCTCAGGAAGCTTAGGAAATTCACATGTTCATCAGGACCCTCAACAAATTTTATGGATGCACCATAGAAAGCCTTCTATCTGGGTGCATCATAGTTTGGTACGGCAACTGCTTTGCCCAGGACCATAAGAAACTACGGAACATTGTGCACAGAGCCCAGACTGTCACGCAAGCCAATCTCACATCCACACTTCTCGTTGCCAGGGAAAGGCTGCCAATATCATCAAAGAACCTTCCTACCCTGGTTATAATCTCTTCCAATCTCTTCCGTCAGGAAGAAGATACAGAAACTTAAAAACACATACCAACAGGTTGAAGAAGAGGTTCTTCCCCACTGTTATCAGACTCTCTAATTTCGAACCCAATGTTGATCCCACTTTGTGCACCTCCTCTGCAGCCATAACCCTGAATGCCTCACTCTGTCTAAACACCCTATGTCCTTGTATGATATGATTTAACTGTGCAGCTTGCAAAGCAAAACTTTACACTGTATTTAAGTACATGTGACAACAATAAATCAAATCAAATCAAAGCAACTGAACCCTCTGTTGGTGTTATTCTGCTCCATACTCTAACTCGCTATTTGAGCTAACTGACTATCATAAGGTACAAGTGATATGAATTTTGCCAAAATTAATCTTTATGAATATACATATCTGGATCTGTTTTGTGACAAAATTTAATTATACAAAAAAATTTACATATCCTTTCTCACATCAAAGTTAACCTAGGGGAGATAGGGACATCATGGTTATGTCATTAGAACTAGTAAACCAAAACTTTGAGTTAATATCCTGGGGACATGGGTTCAAATGTCGGCATGGCAGATAGTAAACTTTGAATTGAATAAAATTCTGGAATGGAAAAAAGCTAGTAACTATGAAATCATTGTCAATCAACATAAAATCCACTTTGCTCACTAATCTCCCTCTGGAATGAACCTTAACAGGCCCACAGCAATGTGATTGACTCTTAATTCCCTTGGGGGCAATTAAATATTGATCATGAACAAATTAAAGCAGTGATTGCTTTTCATGTCTAATTTATTTCCACTAAATGTGATGGCAGCCAGAGGAACAATTGTAGGTCATGACCAATTTTGCAATGGGACTACAGACTATTAGTTGTTGATGGTTTGTCCTAACTTAAATTTCATGTGAGAAAAAGAAACCGTATGTTTATCTTTTCAGGTCATACTTGGAGGAGGAAGAATGTACATGACTCCTGAAGGGACACCTGATCCTGAATACCCAGAGAACCCCAGTCAAAATGGCACTCGAAAAGATAAAGAAAATCTGATTGAGAAATGGCTCAGTATCAAAGAAGTACTGATCAATATTTTTCACAGCCAGATATTCCATTGAATACTTAATCAAATAATAATGTGCCCAGTTATGAATTAATGCCTTCTAACATTTTTCAGGATGCACAATATGTGTGGAATAAAGAACAGTTTGATGCTGTCAATGTGAATAAAACTAAGTATTTGATGGGTAAGTCCACTGAAAATTATTCTTTGCAACACTCTTTTATAAAGGGTAATAAATTCTATAAGAAAGCCCGACATAAGAATGTAGTGATGAGTGACCCTCTCAAGCCACTGCAGTCCATAATTTTAGGGTTGCACCCACAAAAAAAAAGCGTAACACGTTGCACCCACAAAACTGGAATTCCAGAAATTTGATCTGGCAACTACGAAGGAAAGGCAATATGGTTCTAAGTCAGGATGAGCATTCCTGATAATTTTCATTTTCTTCTGCATAGATCTCTGAGGTCTGTACGCAGCATGACTTCCAATCACTGTGTGCAGATCCTTGGAGCGGCTGTATGTGTGTGCAGTCCACAGCTTGAAGGGAGCATTGGTCAGGATGGTGCGTGGCTTGGAGAAGAACTTGTGATGTAGAATGCATTCTGGATATTAAATTGTACATTATCATTTTCTCCTGTCATTAACTTGCAAGTTCCAACCCCTCTGTAAATTTGAGGTCATCCAAAAATTAGCTGCCTGTGTTCTAACTTGCACCAAATCTGTCTGGAATGTTTCGTGGATTAAAGATTGTACATAAGTAGAAGTTGTTGCAAAAAATTCACTTAATATCTAAAGAACCAGAAACTAATGAAGAGAGTTTTTGAGAAGATTTGTAGCTCGGGTGGTCAATGAGGCTGTGGACTCGCTTGCCAAGCCAATGTGTTTGGTTGCAGATGTTTTGTCACCCTGCTAGGTAACATCGTCAGTGAAGCTTCACCAGAGGCACACTGACGATGTTACCTAGCAGGGTGACAAAACATCTACAACCAAACACACTGGTTTGGCAAGCCAGTCTACAACCTCACTGATGAAGAGATGCTAATTTATTTATAAAGCAGTTATGTTAAAATATATCAAAATACTAATTGCTCTTAATATAAATGTGATCCTTAAATTGAACTTCACACAGGAATTGGGCAGATACTTGTTGGTGTTCTTGAGTAACCTGTCCGCTTTGTAGCAGAAAATAGGTCATAATATCATGATATAAGTACAGAATTAGGTCAATTAGCCTATCAAGTCTGCTCTGCCATTCAATCATGGCTGATACATTTCTCAAACCCATTCTTGTGCCTTCCCCTAAACTCATGTTCCCTTACTAATGAACATATCTCTGTCTCAAAGATTTAGTCTCCACAGCCTTCCATGCTAATGAGTTCCACAGATTCACCACTCTCTGGCTGAAGAAATTCCTCCTTATCTCAGTTCTAAAGGGTTGCCCTTTCACTCTGAGGCTGTGCCTTCAAGTCCTCGTTTCCCCTACTAGTCAAAATATCTTCTCCATGTCCACTCTATCCAGGTTTGTCAGTATTCTGTAAATTTAAATGAGATCCCCCTCATCCTTCTAAGCTTTATTGAGTACAGACCCAGAATCCTCAATTGCTCATCCTCTAGCTAGTCATTCATGAGTCATTCTTGTAAACCTCCTCTGGATCCCCTCTAATGCCAACACATCGTTCCTTAGATACAGTGCCCAAAATTGCTCACAATATTCTAAATGCGGTCAGACCATAGCCTTATAGAGCTAGAGATATGTTCATTAGTAACGGAACATGAGTTTAGGGGAAGGCACAAGAATGGGTTTGAGAAATGTATCAGCCATGATTGAATGGCAGAGCAGACTTGATAGGCTAAATGACCTAATTCTGTACTTATATCATGATATTATGACCTATTTTCTGCTACAAAGCGGACAGGTTTCTCTTGTATTCCAGCTCTCAAAATGAATGCTAACACTGCATTTGCTTTCCTAACTGCCAACTGAACTTGCATGTTAACCTTAAAAGAATCCTGAACTAGAACTCCTAACTCCTTTTATGCTTCAGGTTTCTGAAGCCTTTCCCTATTTAGAAAATATCTATGCCTCTATTCTTCCTTCCAAAGTGCATAACTTCACAATTTTCCACATTGTATTGCATCTGTCATCTCTTTGCCCACTCTCCTACCCTTTCCAAGTCCTTCTGCAGTCTCCCTGCCTCCTTCGTACTACCTGGGCCTCAGTATAATCTAATGGGCAGGTTTCCCATACATTGGCTGAAACAGGAAACACCTAGATACTGCAATTTGCAGCAGGTCAGCCAATCATGATGTTAAAGTGGAAATAAGACTCTTAATGTGAGGTTGCATTCCATTTGGCTGAGTTTGCTGTTTAAATAGTGGAAGAAGAATTTGTTTTAAAGCAAACCCTGTTTTCTAAGCTTTCCTGGACACGCTCGTAGGTAAGAGAACTTCTCTTTCCAGAGAGTGGGAGAAGGATTCCAAATCACAGTGTAATCAAGTGGACTAATTAATTGGTGTCCAAGCATCACCCCAGTGAAAAAAGGCTTCTTTTAACCTCACAAGAATAGTAAAGATAAATACAGCTGCTAATTTCTCCCTATTTACTGATAACAGAAGAACAGGAGTCCTATCTTTACACTTACAGTACCATCACTTCCATCATGTAGCAAAAGTGCCCGCTGAAGCACTTTTCATTACTATCCGAGCACACTCACTCCTGCAAAATACTGCAGCTACCAGAAATTTGAAATTAAGCAAGAACTGCAGAAATATTCACAAATCTGGCAGCTTCAGTGGAGACAGAAGAAAATTAAGAGTGGAATTTTATGATCCCCGCAGTTTGAAGGTAAAAAGACTCATACATTGCAGCTCTGGGTGTGCCTACCACCTACCACCCACCCCACCCCGACTCCTATTTTTCAGGGTCAGAGTGAGTATCATGAGACCAATAAGTGGCCAATTAATTACCACTTATACACCTCATCCCACACCCACCCATATTTTACCTACAGCAACACAGCTCCATGCCAGCTGGGTAGCCAGCGGCTTTAGCTACACAGGCTGGCGTCAGGCAAGGAGTGTTTACCTTCTTCGGGATTTCCAGTGTGACCATCACTGGCAGTGGATGCACTGGTTATGATATTGCAAAATATTTTACATTCTGGAATGGCACCAGTGGACAGGATGGTAGTAAATGTAACACAACTATTCAAGAAAGGAGGAAAGAGAAAACCAGGAATTTCAGCCTGGTTAGTCTGACATTAGTTTTGAAATATTACTGGAATTATTATTAAGGAAGTTTAACAGAATATCTAGAAAATTGTAAGTTATTTGAGGTTGCAACTGGTAAGGTAGATAAAGAACAACCACTGGATGTAGCATATTTGGATAATCAAAATGTATTTGAAAAGGTATCCATAAGGGTGTTTTACATGTGGAGTTAGAGCTAATATATTGGCCTGCATAGGGGATTGGGTTGAAGGGAAGCAAATGAAAGATAGGAATAAATGGATAATTTTCAGGTTGACCAGACGTTACTAATAGAATGGCATTGGAACCAGTTCTTGGGACACAGCTATTAATAATCTATATCATGAATATCATCAAGTTGCCTTAGTCCCATAGGCTGCTGTTTCATTAGAAAGAGAGATTATTGATGTTGAGTTTAACCACAATGTCACCACTCCTCAGACAAGTGGTGTTGTTGAGAAGATGGGCCTTCATGGCAACCTCAGCCTGTTACAAGAATTGAACTGCGCTGTTGTCACCATGCTATGTTGCAAGACAACTATCCAGCCAAGTGAGCTAACCAACCCCCCATCAATGACTTTAGATGAAGGGACTATATGTATTGTATCCTCGTGTAATGATGTAAAGCTAGAACAATACTTATGAGTGAAATAACTCCACAAAGGCAGGTATCCTGTCACCAAGTCACCCTTTATTTACATCTGGATTATGCTTGACACTGATTTGGCTTCCTCAGAGCCAGCTCTCAGAGTGAACAGAACCACTGACACTCCTGTTTATATCTGTCAGCCAGGGCTCCCCAGTTGGACTATATTAACAGTCTGAATCAGGGAATTCATATTCTAAGAGATCCACCTGGCTGATGTTGTTATAATCACTACAGTGAAGAGGGTACAAGGAGCTGAATTTTCACGGCTTCACTTTCTAGCAGACAACTGGACAGTTTTTGACTCTCAAACCTGATTCCTAGAGCAGTGGGCCTTCAAGTTCCTATTTATCAGGGCAAACCAATTAGGAGTCTGCCTCGGGGGCAGAGGGCCTTCAGCGATAGATACCTTGTATGTCACTGTCAATAACTCCCACCTGGCCCAGTTTTGTGTCATAAGGATGAAGATGCCAAGGGTGAGCTGTAATGACAGACTAAGTCTCAGGATTTGCCGATGCTCACACCTGCCTGGTTAGTCGGTTTTCAATTGGGGTCAATTGTCAATGTGCTTGCATCTCGCTGATCACTCCATGTGCACTGGTAGGGACATGTGGGTGTGGAAATGGTGTCTGGTTGCATTTGCAGTTGAAAGCTCCCTGTCCCAAACCCTCAGCCGTAGATGCTTAAACTGTTCTGTACTGCTATGAAGCCTGGCTGCAGTGTATCCTGCTGGATCTGTGAAATGCTGGTCAGATCAAGCCCTTTCCTGGCAATTGGCACTCACCTGTCAAGCAACAGATAGGGAATGCTTTTCAAGGCAGCCTCTCAGTCTGGTCATTCCTGCATCACTTCAGCACACTAATAAAACTTCACAACGTACCAGTTTCATTGAAGTTGAACCCTGCTGCTAAGTTTTTGTCTTTTGCTAACTGTTGGCTTTTCTTTGGCTTCTTTAATCACTCTAATTGCCTTCCTGCCCAGGCCATCAGAGTTCCCAATTTCACCAATCCACCATAGGGAAAAGCAGCCAAGGCAGGAATGTGCCTGCAAACTGGCCCAGTGCACTTTTTTTTAGAATTAGAATTAGATTTATTGTCACATGTACTCACATGAGTACATGTCGCCACTTACGGTGCCATCTTAAGTACAAAGGTACCTAGGTACAGAAGCTTAAGTACAAAATTTTAGGAAAAAATTAGAAAAATAAAGAAATAAAAAGTTTAGAATAACAGTCCTTTCAATCCAGTCCGTACTGGCACCCAGCCTCCAGATTGTGCCGGGCATCCCTCAAAGCTCTCGAGACCGGGAGGCTGATTTGGATTCACCTCGAGGCTGGGAGTCCGTACTGGCTTCACCTTGAGGCTTACAAGGCTGGGAGTCCATGCTGAGGTGGCAGTACGTGATGACTTCACTCAAAGCTCATGGACAAGAGGTAAGAAGGAAGGAAGGAAAGAAAAAACACAAAAAGAGAAAAAGAAGAAAAGAAATGGATGAAGCGGATGACCTCTGACTGAGGAGTCCTACTCCACTGCCATCTTGGGAAGCCAGTTTTTTTCTCATTAAATCTAACTCCGTGGTCTTGGGCAAATTTCCAACCGAAGATTTTATAAAAGAGATATAGGCAGGATAACTGAATGGGAAAGAATATGACAGTTAGGGTATAATGCAGGGAAAATTGAGGTTATTCACTTTGCTAGCAATGGTAGAAAAACTGAATTTTCTGAAATGCTGACAAACTATTAAAAGTTAATGTTCATAAAGATTTTTCTTTGTGCTAGAAACATAGTTAACATGTCCGTACAGCAAGGAAGTAGACAGACAGGTAATGAATAGATATTTATTACAAAGAGTTTTAGTACAGGAATAATATCTTGTTACTTTGATGAGACCTCATTCAGTTTCATTCAGCCAGGCAGATTCAGCCATTGCTTTCAAAAAGGAATTCGTCAAATGCCTGAAAGAAAACCATCTTTAGGGTGTTGCCAAACGGACTGGACAGTGGGACTAGCTAAATTACTCTTGCAGAGGGTCAGCATGAATTCAAAACATAGAATGACCTCCTTCTAAGTAAAACCATTCTATGACTTGTATAACAAGACCATAAAACCCTCTTCCTTTTTAGCATCTCACAGACAAACATTTGAGCATAAATATTCAATATCATAAAATAATGAATGAATGCACATTTTGTTTTATTGTTAGGTTTGTTTGAACCCAGGGATATGAAATATGAGTTAAATCGAAATAAGACTATGGATCCTTCTATTGTTGAAATGACTGACAAGGCCATTCGAATTCTTCAGAAGAATCCCAAAGGATTTTTTCTTTTTGTTGAGGATAAGTATTTAAACCTTTGCTCAATCCACTTCTAGAAATCTTGCATCTTACAGCTTTCAAGGTTAATTATCCAAGGTATTTTTCCTCTCTGCATCATTAGTGTTGAGGTATTTTTTTAAAGAAAAAGCGTCGTTCACTGTCAGCCTGGTATTTAATACCTGTAAATGAGTCTGAATTGACGATGATACAATTACCTTGGTATAATTGATGACTGCAATGGAAATTGTTGTTTGTGGTTATATATTTAAGTGCCAGTGCTGGCATGAATTGCATTTGTTAGCCAAATTAATAGGTTGAAAATTGGGGCCTGGAGTTGAATCTAGCGCAAACAAAAGGGATGGAAGTCTAATCGTTTTGATGACTAAATGTTGGTAATGTCACCTCCAAGAGGTGATAAGAACTGACAAGGCGACACATGTGGTTTACTGCAAGCCACAGTAAATAGCACCCTACAGCAGAAACTCTGAGTAACATTTCCCTCAACCCAGGACATAGCAGCACTTTGCAAAGTAGGACAGTAGCAACCTTACCATTGATGCCTGTGATAAAATCAGATGTTCAGCTTAATCCAGGGATTAAAGGTAGAACCACCTATTTAAAAAATCTTGCATTATATTACCAAAATTGAGAAGATATACCTTTTTTTTGTTTCTTTAAGTGGTAGAATTGATCATGGACATCATGATGGAACAGCAGTGCAAGCTTTAAATGAAGCAGTTAAATTTGATGAAGCTATTGAAAGAGCCAGTCACTTGACAAGTGATGTTGACACTCTCACTGTAGTAACTGCAGATCATTCACATATGTTCGCATTTGGTGGAAAAGCTCTTCGTGGCAATCCAATATTTGGTAAGTGACAGTACGTTCCTTCAAATATCTACTTGGACTTTGAATTAGGGAATTTTGTTTGATAACGTTTCCGTGAAATGCCTTGTGGTGGTTTTCAACATTGAAAGCACTAGACAAATTCAAATTATTGTTATTGACTGTAATTCAGTTGCTAAAAATGTATTTCCACAAAAATATTTCAAAATCAATTTTTTTGGTGTGAAATCTGGTTTAGTAAAATCTAGCATAAAGTTGCTAAGAGTTATGCTGAGCTACATTCAT